GTGTGTGTGTGTGTGGCTGGGGGGGCGGGGAGGCATGGCAAGCAGGTTGCCATGGTGACAGGAGCTTAGGGATGTCCTGGGCTTTCTGGGCTGGCTTCCTGCCCAGAAGCAGCTCTGGTCACTCTGGACACCAGAGCTGGAGGGAGGATGGGGAGTAGGGGGCTAGTACCGTCAGAGCCACCAGCTGCGGGTGCTGTGGAAGGTTCCTGAAGGAGCTAGCATATGCGGCCAGCAGGTCAGAGTGGGCTCCTCCTGAAGGGCTGATTCTGGCTGACCCTGACCTCACACTGAACCTGGCCCACATCACGCCCTGGTCCTGACGCCAGGGGGAGCCTTGACAACACCAGGGATGAAGGAAGGGAGGTTCTGAGGGGCTGCAGAGACTTGGGGAGGACTTTGGAAGAGGAGCGGGGAGGTCTGGGTGGGGAGAGTCCTCTGGTCCATCTCTCTCCCCCTCCTCTCCTTTCCTTCTTTCCGTTATTATTAACCTCCTCCCTGCTGAGTGCTGGAGAAGCAGCTCAGGTGTTGGACCTCTGCATACCTCATCACTAAGAACACCAGTGGAGACCTGCACAGGCTGGAGTGCTCTGGGCCTGAGGCCTGCCCTCCGAACCGGGGACCCTATAGACCCAGAGCCTTGTGGGGGTCCTGCTTGTAGGTGCCACAGACAGGCAAGGACCGAGGCGGGCCGCAGCGGAGAGCAGAGGGCCAGCCTCGGACACTGGTCGACACCAGGGCTGGGAGATGACAGTGCAGGCAGGAAAACGGGAGAGCCACTGGCAAAGGCCGGTTGGCCCAACCGACCCCTCGAGGAGACCCTCGACAGTGGGTGGCAAAGTCTGGGGGTCTCGGAGTGCTCGGCCACCCCATCCTCCCTAGGGTTGCCCTGGCCAGGCAAACGGGGATTCCACTAAATCAGTCGCTGAAGCTCTCCGTCTGCTCTCCACTTCCTCATTCCATCTGTCACAGGCCAGGCTAGGGAAAGCCACACTGATCAGCCAGGAAGATCACCTTTGGGACACGGGGTCAGAGAGGACTTGAATGAACTGGGCTGGGGTTAGCAAGGCTGCCAGCAGCCCTGAGCAAACCATTCCTTCTCTCTGCTCCGATCTGTTCATCAGTGGAATGGAGACCATCACAGGGCCGACGTCAGATTATATGAGCTGACGATTGTGGGGGTGCTGACTGCATGCTGGCTCTCCTCGACAGGACGCATGGCTCAGCCCAGGAGGGGAGGGGTGTCATTATTTCCTGTAAAGTTCATTGTCTTTCCATCCGAGAGGCAGGACAAGCCCAGTGAAGAACTCTGAAAGGGATGCGATCATGTGTGTCCCCACCGTTGTCTGAGATGGCCACGGCTTCCAGTGGGCCACACGTCTCCGCAGGCTCTTAAACACAAGCTCTTAGTGATCGCACTGTATGCTCTTTATTTATACCCTTTTCCCGGAGCCTTTTACTCAACACGAGCATCCCAGATTCCCCCCGCCCCTGTCTCAAAGGCACTATCAAATACTGTCGCACAGGCTTTGAAGTCAAACTGACCTAGAATAATGATGTCCCAAAAGTCTCAGTGCAGTTTTAAGGTTTACTAACCTCAGAAGTATAAAGCTACAAATTTACAAGAAACACCACTTGAAAGTTTAGTTATTTAAATTTCCTTTTTTGCCCTCTGAAAATGGCAAAAGCTGACTGAAAAAAATTAAAGCTGTTCTCTAAATTCACAAAACTAGATCAGCATCGAGAAAATCTAAGTAATTAAACTTTCCAATTGTGTTTCTTGTAAATGTGTAGCTTTATACTCCTGAAGTCATTAAAACTTAAAAGACTTCCACGGCACGATCATATTGAGAGCCGTGAGCCCTCCGTGGGCTACTTCAACCTCTCTGAGCTTCACTCCATCATCGGTTGACTGGGTATGACTATAACATCATAGCATCTGCTGGTATAGTACAGCCCTCAGGAAACGCTAGTCACTATGATTATCGTTGTTGTTGCTAAAGGCAGTGTGACATTACACCATGTAAAAACCCAACAATGCCTGTTCAATTCTCCAATTTAAACACCATGGGGAGAGGGAAACCCTGAAAGCTGAAGCCTTATCCATCCTTTTCTTCCTCTCCTCTGTATACTCATGAAAGACTGAATCCCAGAGAGAGGTCGTGTCTGTCCTGCCCTGCCTAAGGGCACTCAGGAACTGGAGCCTCAAACTCAGTCTTCAGTCCCTAACCCAGGGCTCTGTCCACCGTCCAGTACTGTTTCTACTTCTTATGAGGTCTCTGTATCCCCCTGCACCCCACCCCCAGTGGGGCTTATCAGGTCTGGACCCCAGGTTCCCTAGCCTGGCTCCCCTGGAAGACAATGTCCCCTCCATGCATGGTGTCATGAATGCTGGCCTGTAAGATCCTGTTTGTCGCTTGTGCACTATTTTTAGCTCCTGTGAGTTTCCTGTAGGGACCCAGTCCCGCTCCCAGGAACTCTGGGTTGGAAGCCATGAGCAGAGTCAGTTGGCAGTGGCGAGGGGACACGGTGGAGAATTGTCTTCTGGAGCCTAAAATCTCAGGGCTCGAGGTTCAGCTCTAGGGAAGAAGCGGGTAGGGAGCAGGGGTCTCCCAGTCACGGAATCAGGCTGGGATCTGGTGTAGCATAGACTTAGTCTGGCCTGGGGTGGGGGCTGGGCAGCCTAGGCCTGTGAGACAGCGGCTGGGGCCTGCTGGGAGCTGGCAGTCACTGACCTTGTTGGCCCTGGGCCCAGCCCAAAATAGTTCTGTGGCTGGGCAGGGCCTGGGTGATACCTGTGTGTGCATATGCATGTGCTTGTGTCTCGAGGCACTTGTGTACACGAGTGCACATGCACTTTGCACTTGCTTCTTCGTGTGTCTGGGTGCCTCAGTGTGCGTTCCATGGAGCAGTGTATAAGTCTGTATGCGTGTGGATGGGCACATGGTCTGCACACATGTGCTCATGAGCGAAGCTGCCACCTGAGTTCTGCAACACAGAGGCCCTGCCAGTGAGCTCAGTAGTAGATAGGTCTGTGTGGCACAAGTGAATGCACATGCCACCACATTTCTGTGACTGTGGAATCGTATATGTGTGTATATGTGAGCAGGGGCTGTGGGAGTGGGGCGGACAAGTGGGGTTGGGCAAGGGCTTTTGGTTGTATTGTAGGTGGCCAAGGGCAGGTGGACCCCGTGGAGGCTGTTCTACCCAGGGCACTACAGGTTACCTGGCCACAAGCCAAGGACGAACTGAGAGAGAGGCTGGGCAGGTCTTGCCCCATTTGGCAGATAATAAAACTGGATTTGGCAATGGCCGTGAGGTCGCCCAGCGAGTGGGGAGTGGGTGAGGGAGGACAGGCCCCTGGCTTTCCAATTTCCCTAGATGTGGCTGGACAGGAAGGCTGGACTCTGGGGAGGAAGCCAAGGGGGCCCTTCCCTTCCTGCGTGAACCTAGGCAGCACTTCCCTCAGCTACAGATACAGACGAGAAAACTGAGGCCCAGAGAGGGGAACGGCTGGCCCAGTGCCATCCAGCATGAGATCAGATCCTCCCTTGCTTATGGCCCTGCCCCACCTACCCCTTTTGTCACACGTGGTGACATCATATGTTCCTGGACATCCTTGCTCTCTCCAGGGCCCCTCCTCAGCTCTCGGCCCTTCCTCTCTAGCCCCAAAGATCCCCTTGCCTGCCTACCTCATGTACCAGGGGACCCACAGACCAGCCGAGACCCCTCTCGTCCACGAAGGAACCCCTGGAACCCACCACGTACCCGCTCCACGGGGATCTCTATTCCGCGGGGCGGGATAGGACATGCCTCCCTCGGCCTCAGACTTGAGTAAGGGGTTGGTGGGCTTCTCTCTGCTCTTCCACTGTTTGTCTGGATGGAGCCCTCTTCACCTCAGTGTCCCCAGCCCTGAAAGGGGCAGAGGCAGCTCAATGACACCAGTCATGCCCTGGAAACTGTGTGCCACAGGAAGTGATGGGGAACTAGACTAGTGGCCAGAGGAAAACCGGGTGGCAGACAGCGGGCTCCTTTGTTCCAAGCGTGAACCATGGTCCCTCCCCCTCCCGGGAGGTCCTCGCGACTAGGCTTAGGATTCCCTTTCCAAGGTCACAGGCCCTGGAGCAGACAACCGCTGGCTTCACGCTCTATACTGAGACCCAGGAGTGGGGGGAGGGGGACTTCCCCAAGGTCACACAGACAGGAGTGGCGGCTGGCCATGGACGCCCGGCCCAAGGGGCAAGGGGAGGGCAGCCTCGGTTTACCCACTCTCCGGGTTTCACAAATCAACCCACCCAGCCACCCAGCACTCCGGGAAGCGAGGAGAGCCCGGGCGTGAGTGTGTCTGTGTTGGTCAGGACCGAAGGGTCAGGTTCCCCCGCCTCCGCGGCCCCTCCCTTCTCCCCTCGTTGGGTCCCAGGAGCCTTCGGACCTGGAGGAAACCAGAGGGAGACCTGGGGCGCGGGGCAGACGGACGCCGCCTTCCACCTGCTCCCCCGCCGGCCCCTTGCTCCAGCCTGGGTGAATAACACCCAGGGGCGCGGCGCGGCGGGGCGTGCCGAGGGGCGGGG